CTCTCTCTCTCTCTCTCTCTCTCTCTCTCTCTCTCTCTCTCTCTTGCTGGACCTCTTGAATAACCTTGCAACGTTTATAGGGATTTTGAACCCATTCTTCATCCACCTCTCTTAATCGCCTGGTCCATTCCTTTCCCCTCCCTGCCCCCCCCCAAAAAAAAAACCCCCACAAAAAAACAACAACCCCCTCAACAAAAACAGAACAAAATAAGAAAACAACAACACACAAATCCTTGTCTGATTCCGAGTGTTGTTTAAAATTAATTACCCATGATTCGTATAGACTGGAAAAGGGGATGATCGGACGGCGGCACTGGAAGGCTGAAGGTCTTATTTCTTATCTTTCTCGTCTGTTTGGGCTTTGTACGTTTGCTCGTACACTAAATAACCCTTATTGTTTCGATGTGTTTCTATTTACTCAAACAAACGAACAAACGAACTTTGGTGGTTAGCCGGTGCTCTAGTGTGGTTTACTCCTTTTTTCCTGTCAAAAATATTATACTGACCTTATCTTTCTTCCTTTTCTTTGCTTGTCACTATTTAGTAACACCTAATCTTCGGCTAGTATATGGCCTATTTATGTGGCAAATGCTGTACTCTTCCTAAATTAACTGGCTGAAAGAATGAGAAGTCATGATCACGATGGTGTAGTCGTTATTTAAATCAATTGTTTTCTATTTCTTTATCAATTAACATGTCCCCGTGGTTTTATGAGAAAAAAAAAATGAAATTATGCAAACTGAGCCCCAAAAATGTGAAATTATGCGATTCTGTTAATTTTAACAAAGAGTGATAAAGGAAAATAATCAGAAATTATACGAAAAATGATCAAATTTGGCTAAATTGTGTGGGGTACATGAAACCACAGGGACAGATTAACCTGTAGCTTTTTGCTTTAGAGCGGGAATTTTTTTTTTCTACGTCGTAAGAAAACTCAGACGCAATGTTAAACTATGCAATTTTCTGACAACGCCCTTCTGACTGTCAGGGAAACTATGTCGGTGTTGTGTGTCTTTGTTGGGATCTTCAGGTCTCCAGGCAAACCAAGGCCAACCCCTGTATGCATAAGGCGTGTGTGCTCGTCATTTTCTGTGTCCGCTGTGCCCTCGCCAGTACATAATATATGGCATCGTGCTTTAGAAGTAGAATAGTTAAAACGGATAAAAGGAAGGAACAAGTTTGTTAGTGCTCCTGATATGTACATGTTTACGATAAGTGCTCTTATGTGGTTTGTTGTGTCTGCTTCCTTTCAGTGTCTGCCGTGTAATTATTAGTGTCTGCACTGTGCGTTACACCCCCC